TAGAGGCTAGAAGCCAAGTCACACGAGTCGGGGCGGATTGAGAGAGGTGGCGCAGCCAGGCGCAGCCCTAAAAGTTCTGAATTTGGAGCACAGACAAGGCACCCTGATCCACACATACCAACATCGCCCAACAGGTCTGGTGCTGTGCAAAGCTCTGGTAAGAGAGCAGTTGGTAGCGCTGTTTTTGGAGCAATTGGGGCACCCTTGGAGATCCTGACCGCCACCAGCGCTTACTTGCTGGTCAATGCTGCTGGTGCTACCAAGGTGATTCATGCGTCTGGCGCAAATGCAAACGGAGTGCTGAAGGTTTGGCACTCGTGTTTTGAGCCAATGCCAATGGAAGAGAGGAGCGCGCCAGCGGCCCCTTGCTTCTTCACTAGAGTGGACCTCAGGTAAGTGGGGCCCTTGACAGCTCCTCAAGCAAAGCGCATCAAGGGTCCAGAATCAATGTCAATCGCTTGCTGTCGGCATTTGATCTGCTACAAGGATTTGCTGTCCCCTATGTAGCTCAACGACAGTTGTGAAGGTCCGGACTTGAACTCTCTTGTCGTGGCTTTGAAAGCGAGTATGTGAACTTCTAGGATCAGCACTCTGTGCAGTGTAAGCATGACAGCGAGTCTCTTGGTCACTATGGTGACTTAAGATGAACTTGATCATGCAGTGATGAACTGGGGCAGCGGTTGATGAGGCTGCAGAAGAGGAGGGAGAACAGGAGGGAATCCAAGGTAAGGAACGCTTGACATTCGTTTCATAACATATTGTGTCTTCAAGAGGACATGGCAGGAGAACCCCCAATGTTTTATGGCATGGGGAAATCCATGCAAAGGGTATAGTATTTGCAAGTGCCTTTTATGATTGGGGTCTTTCCAGGGTTGTGCTCATCGCCGTCAGTTTCCTCTCTGATTCCTGCATGAGGCTCACCACCTTATCATCGACACTGTGGATGTAGTTGGCTCCACTAGGGTGCCCTTTTGCCTCAGCTGCGTTGCGTTTGTCCAGCCTCTTAGAACATCCACCGTCGCTTTCTTCTCGGTTTCCTCCCTCTTGGACAATTCCAACTCCTGTCGCTGTTGGAATCTAGATACCTAGCCCTCAAAGCCAACACCGCATCCTGAACAAAGCCTGTCTTGTCATGACCAGGGTGAAGCAGTGTCAGAGTGGTGGGACGAAGGTGATTTCACCGTTGGAAATGATGGAGTCTCCAGTCAAGCTGAAGAGGAGGAGGAGAAGGAAGAGTTCGTTCTGGCCCCTGCGGAACAGGAGCTCGCTGCGCAGATGGCTGCGATGGGCTTGCCTACCAATCTGGGGGGTGGTATGAAAAAGCAGGTGGGGGCGGGGTCGATGCTTAGTATGGAGCAAAACGTCAGACTCAGCTTGTGCAACTCTCTGTGACACTGCGTCTGCGAGAGCAAGCCTTGCATCAGTGGAAAGGAAACGAGTTCAGGCTTTGAGAAAGCGCTTGTAAGTTGATTGTGACAACCAATCTACTATCGCAGTCGGAGGAGAAACTCAATCGTGGAAGCCAACAAGCTACGGTGGTTACTTAGCTAAGAATCTTTACTTTGTTTGAAAAGTATGGCCTGTGCTAGGATGAGATTCGTAGTATGATTTCCATAGTTTAGATCGTCTGAGGATGGGTCCTGAGGGCCTGGTGATTCACATCGTCTTTCACACGTCATACAGCAGCTTGCTCGAGGGTTTCTTCTGTGAGAACAAATGGTTAAACTTGACTTTTCAGACGTTCTTTTCAGTTGCTAAGACTCTCTGTATAACCTACAGGCCCGTACTTCGAAAACGAAAAGAAGACGCGACGCCAAAAAGATTGCGCTCTCGACCCCGCTTGCCGCTGCCCCCTCGCCAGCCCCCTCAAAACTCGCAAACCCCCTCCAAGCGAGTGATACAACTTCTTTCCCGGAACCTGTCGCAAGGACCAGTGACGGCTCTCCCTGGCAACCTGTCTGGGACTCTGAATACGGGGCCTTTTACTGGTGCAACACCGAGACGCTGGAGTCTCAGTGGGAAGTTCCGGACGGTTTGGAAACGTACGCTGCTGCGCTGTACGCTTTCGAACGACAAGAGGGGTCTGACGCTGCTGTCGAACCGGTTGAAGGCGTCGAAATCAATGAGCGTCCGGGCTTGCAAGATGCAAGAGGGGGGAACCTGGAAGCTCCACTAATTGGCGGGCTGTTTGGAGTAGTAAGGGAGAGATCAGAGGGGAAAGTGTTCAACGAATGTTCCGTTCATCAGCCTGGATCATTGAACGGTGGTTCTCGATCGAACGAGGGGCAGGGAAGAGACGAAGCTAACGAAGTGGCCGGAAACGGCGGCAGTAAAAACCGTCACGGGACCGGACCGGGCGGGATGAGAAGTAGATTAGAAGAGCGTTCACCGGCAGAAGGGTTGAGTGGCAACCTCAAGTCGTTCGAGAGTATTGCAGGAGCCACCCGGCAAGAAACAAGGCCCGCGGTTCAGAGCTTCGAGCTGAGGGGCCGGCCGAGGCCCTGTGGGACGCACATTCGCTTTGGCGACGAAAGCGATGCGTCGGCCAGCATGAGTGAAAACGGGGCCATAGAAAATGGGAGTCTGGGGTCGAAGCCCGTGTTGCGAAGCGACGTAAAAGAAGAGGCGATAGATATGATGGAGGTGGATGACCCGATGGACGTTGATTCTTACGGGGGGGTAGAAAAGCGGGGCAGGAGTTGGATTAACCGGAGCGAGATTGGCGGCGCGCCTGTGCGGGTGGTTGGTGAAAACGAGAAGGGGCGGGCTCTTGGGAAGGGTGGGGTGCTCGACAATGGGAAGCATTCGGTGCCTGCACTGGAGAGAAAGTCGGACGTCCGAGGAGAGAGTGCGGCTGACGTCAGTGAGGCCGTCCGACAAGACGTTACTGCCGCCCAGAAGGCAACCACGGCTGACCCAGAAGAAACGACGGACGTCGGGAGAAACGGGTCAAGTGTTTTCACGGACAACGCGGCTGTTTGGAAAGGAGAGTCGAACGCTTCGATGGAGGCGGTCGCTGAGAAAAGAGCGACGGGTGCCTTTGAAGGCGGGGCATTGCTCCGATTGGAAACGGGCGGGGCAGTACTAGACGAAAAGAGAGCGACAGTGCTCGGGGATAGTCTCCTGGAGGCGGCGAGAGAGCGCTTGCACAAGGGCACCGAACCGACGGCAGACTTCGCGGCAGAGTCAAACGGAACGTACGGAACGCATGCGCAGGCGACGGTGGTTGACGGTCTGATCCGGGAGGCGGGACCCGCGGTGAAAATGAATGCAACAATTGTGGCGGAGGCAACGGCAAACACGGAAGGTACGGTAGAAGGGGAAGCAGCTTCGCAACTAGATGCAGAGGGGTCGGACGCGCCGGCCTCTCTCACGATTAGAAGAAACTCCTTAGACGGGCTGAAAGCAGCCCAAGTCGAGAAACTTACTTCGAGCGCAACCCCTCCCCTGACTAGCCCTGAGCCCTCAATGGTCGAAAGGAAGGGGTCCACATACCGGGTGACGTCACTACCGGAGCCAGAGGCGAGTGTTCTACTTAAGTCGGAAGGAGCGCGGACCACAGCTTCAGTGCTGACGTCAGCACCCGCACCGCGGGCTGACGTTGGCGCGGGGGGCGACGCTGGGGGCGCTGTGTTGGTGGCCTCGGCGAGCGGTCGGGAGAAGCCAGCTGACGTGGGGCAAAAGTACTGGTTTCAGCGGTACCGCCTCTTCTCAAAGTTCGATCAGGTAAGCGTGGCAGATTCGTCCGTTTGGGTTCATCGAGGCATTATAAAAGAAGATTATGGTTTGCGAAGACGATCTGAGATGAGGACCGGAATTCGTGCAAAAGTTACTGGTTTGAGCACTGCTGCGTTTCCTCGAAGTTCGATCAGGTGAGAGGGGTGAGTTCCTTCGTGTGGTTCACTCGGGTATTACCCTGTGAGATGATGGTTTCGGAGACAAGGTTGGTATTGAGAGTCGGACAATATGCAGATATACTGACTTCCGCGGCACCGCCTCTTCTCGAAACTTGACCAGGTGATCGGGGCGGGCTATTTCCGTGTGGGTTCATTGGAGCCCTCAATTTGCGAGTGTGGCTCGTTGGAGACGGTCCAGAATGAGAGTTGGCCATCTGCTTCCAGCGGTTCCGCATGCTTTCGAAGTTCAGTCAGATGAGCGAGGGCGGGTTCATTTTGTGCCGGTTCATCGGTTTAGCGAGATGTTCGAGCGTGAGATAGTGGCTTCGGGTAGAGAGGGTAAATATGAGCTTCCTCTGGGCCTGCTGAAGTCTGCTTTGAATCTGCTTCTTACAGTTGAGGCTCTTGGCGGCTGAAGCATCCGCATAACCAGGACACCCCTTGAAATGTCCTTCGACCTGTTCTCTTGTATCATGGCAAGCCCTGAGATCGGTCCTGATTATGGACTTCCCTGCTTCTCAGCGGCAGGTGTCGAAGTAAGTCGACTTCAAAGGTGGTAGGTCTACTCTGCGGTTGTTGTCCAGTTCCAATTCTTATTAGCTCGCATTTTTCCAGGGGGTTCGTCTCGACCCGGAAGGCTGGTACAGCGTCACCCCCGAAGCGATTGCGGTCCACCACGCAAAGCGCTGCGCGCGCCGCGTCGTCATCGACGCGTTTGCGGGCGTCGGCGGGAATGCAATTCAAATGGCGACAACCGCAGACTGGGTCATAGCTGTGGACCTGGACCCTGGTCGCCTCGCCCTGGCGGAGCACAATGCGGGGGTGTACGGCGTTCGTGACAAGATCGAGGTGCGCTCGCAAGGTTACCTCTAACTGAGTTTTTGAGGTTTGGTATTTCCGGGTTATGAGCGTCGCCAATGCTGCGCTCGACCTGAATTGCGTGTGAAAGATGGGAGCATCTAGGATATTGCAGGCGGAGAGTGGCCGAAGAAAAAGCACGACGGGATCGAAACATAGGACAAGATCAGGGGGCAGGTCTGTATTCTATGTCTTTCCCAGTAAAGCGTCTAACAGGACGAATACCGTCAGATAGCTGCAATTTTCCGCGAAGTTGATCAGGCAGTCGAATCAAGGCCGAAGTCTTTGACCATCCTGGCCCGCTTACTATAGCCAGCCCGACATTGTTTTGGATGATTCTCCCTGTTAAGCCCACAAGTCGGATTCGTTGCTTCGCAATGACTTTGTTCGTAACGATCAATAAAGTCACGACATCACCCCCGTTAAGAGACGAGCCTCCCCATAGGTTTAAGAATTTGGGTCTGCATCTCTGCAGTTTGTTGCCGGCGACTTCTTGCGGCTCGCCCCGACATTGCGCGCGGACGCGCTGTTTCTGTCCCCGCCCTGGGGGGGTCCTGAGTACAGCCTCGTGGAGACATACGACCTTGACACCATGCTGGAGCCAGTCAGCGGGTGAGCCTGTGTCCTTCTCTGGTGTTAAGATCTTGAGGTTGGGCGGTCCAAGATTCCGCATCACTCAGACCTCTGTTGGCGTCTGGCTTCTTTTCTCGTTTATTTTTGCAGTTCGAGGGTTTGCGCTCTCGACAATCGCGTGATGGTCTGGTTCAGACGGGTCCAACAGATGGCATCTGTTTTCGAAATGCTTTATTCGTCTTGCACGGAAAGCTCTTCTTTTGGAGGTATCTGCGAAACCATGGTTTTGTATTTCGCATATGAGTGGTTGGCCCACCCACATGTTTACAACAAACGTTCAAGGTCCATATAATCAGATTATTCCTCATACGCTCTCAAGACAGACGTTCGTACCCAGGGTTGAAGGTTCCTGCTTGTCTCCCCCGTTCGTCCAGCCCTTGAGGGCGCAAGTTTTAGAAGTTTCTCTTAGAGTGTTTCCTCGGATACTCGAGAGAACAAATCTTGGGGTGCACATTCCCAAAAACAATCGTTTGGAGTTTGTTCTGCTTATGGTGGTGTCCTTTCCAGATTCAAGGGTTTTTAGCAACCCGTCGATGAAAGGGAGCAGACTCATTCGTGTCGCCAGTCATCTGTCCTCTGGCCTGTGTTACGACTTCTACCTCTGGCCTATTTCTATTCCTATTTGGCCTCCTACTGTTTTAGACTGAAGCACAACAAAGAAATCCGTTGAGTCGGAAGCATAACACTGAGAGTTTGAGAGAAAGTCCAGCTCTAGATATGACAAGAAATACCGAACCCCAGTAGTCACCTGCTTCGCACCCGTACTTAATCTAGACCATCTTCTGAAGCGCATCCCGGCCGTCTGGTTGCCCCCCAGGGTGGAGCTGTTCAAGGCGGCCCTCCAGGTGACGAGCAACATTGCGCTGTTTTTGCCCCGCAATGTGGACGTCAAACAGTTACAGGAGCTCGCCTGGCTCGCCAGCCCGCCCCTCCCCTGCGAGGTGCGCCGTTGTCAGTGTTGGATTCCAAGACATAATTCTTGTGTTGATCACAAGCTGGACGACTGAACCGGAAAAGGCGTCTCTGCTCAAGCTTTGGAGTAATCAGGGTATGCTTTGGAAGGAGACAATCTGCTTGATTGTCTTCCACCCAACGTCTTTAGTGATCCATTTATCATTTCAGAACCATCTGATTAATAACAAGCTGATAGCCAAGAACCATCTGTACTCCCGTTTCCGCGTCTGGTCATTTCCCCTTACAAGTCGTGGTTCTACTGGACGCTTTAGAGTCGGTTCTTGGCTATCAGCTGATGTCTCTCTATCCTTTCAGTTTTCAGAGCTTTTTCTTTACCACGTCTGCTCCGCATAATCATGCAGTATCCTAGAAAGGCAGCTCGTCTCTTGCAGCCGACTTTTCGGTGAGCTCAGATGCTGTCGTGTTGCTTTGGCTTTGCGAAGCTTTCACACTACATACTTCTTAGTCGCTCCCAATGTCCTTGCAGATTGAAAGCAACTATTTGTGCGGCAAGCTCAAGTGCATAACGGCCTACTATGGCGATCTCGTCGTCCCTCCAAGTCAGGACAGATGACATCCGTTTGCCAATACACACCTGCTAGGAAAGTGACTCGACAGCGGCGAGTGGCTTCGGGTGTAAGCCTCAGCATGACATGTTGACGAAACCGGCTGTTCAACACGGCTTTCATAATGCACCCTTGTGTCCTTATTCTAGTTTCTCTTGGATCAGACTAATAAAGAGAAGGAGGCCTCTCTTCAAGGGCTGTCATGCTTTCTTGTATGCCGTCAGGTGTGCAGAGCTCAAACATTTGTGCAACTGTTAATCAACAGCTGGGTCTGCAAGTTCAATGAGATGTTGTCGTAGCCGGGTTGCATCGTCGCCAGAATTAGGCTGCAGAAACGTCATGGCTACGAGACGGTCAGTGCTTGCAGAGTGCGTAGTGTGTACGTACGTGTCATGCATTCTTTCCGTTATGATTAACTCAAATCATTGCAGCTAGTTTCAAGTAGCATCTTGGGACGTACAATGTCGAGTTGCTAAAACCAAGCGAATAATGATTGAATTCATGTCGAAGTTGACGTGCAGAGATCTTACAATCCAACGACGGCAGACACGATACCATCGGGCCAATTCGTCGGATATGCGGCAGCTTGCCGTCTGTGCCGGCCCGCTAATGCCGCCAGGCATGAAAATCCATGTTCGTCTCGCTGGGCCGGGCACGGCTGTGCAATTTCTCATGTGCATACATAAAAGAATAGCTCTGAGAGCTGTCATAGGCTATATATACCGCCATGATTAATGCCGCGCAACGTGCATACAATAAGCTAGCTAGAAATTGTATATGAATCATGGACCTCAAAAAGCTGAAGAGTTCATCGACGGAGCTCGTGAGCCTTCCGTTCAGCTGCGGCCACATGATGGCGACGAGCTTCACGTGCAATGGGACTGCACCATGCATTGTGAAGATCCATGCACCACTTCACCCCACAAAAGCTACTTGTGGGGTATATATAACACAGTAGTTTCAGATTAGTATGGCGGCCGCCACGATGCTGGCACTGAAAAGACTTGAACTTGAAGAAATCCAGCTCAGACTCATCGTAAATGAATCGAATCAAGGTACAGTGCATATCATTGCGGCCTGCAGAGCTCAAGGGCATCAACCTTGCAATTTGCACTTTGGGCACGACGTTTTGTGAGCTGAAGGAAAGCCACCTCGAGGCTCGGACACAAGTTAACTCGGACTCTTCTTGATTATAGTCTTATTAAAAGCAGTCCTCGGAGTTGATGTTCGCTTATTTTGCGGTCAAAAAGGCCAGCCTGGAGCTGTGAACAAGCCTGTCAGTGTACAAGCAGTCTATGGTCCGTTATTTATAGTCTTCATCCTCAAGACCATACTCTGGGCACTGCAACGTAGCGGTTTTACAATGATCCTCAGTTGCCAATAACTGACAGCTTATTGCTGGCAGACCTCGAATTGCCCTTCTGGACTATTGGACACTCAACACAAACTCCATAATTTTGGAGCCGCAAATACCTCTAGAAGCACCCCTAACCTGACGACGATACACGTTACATGGATTGGGCCTCTCTCAGTTGCATCGCTCATCCTGACCCATCCCCTGGCGCTCCAGCATCATTCTGTACAACTGCGTTAAAGAGTGGGACTGTGCAAATGGACGTCCGATAGCGTCCAGCAGACACCTTGTCATTGTCTGATTGAAAGCGCGTGCTGTAAGCAACGTACACCAGCGCATTCTTCTTCTCGTCAAAGATCCTCCTCACATGAAGCGTCTTGAACGCCAGGAAGTTCTTGGTCTCTTGGAAGATCTCCTCACCCTCCTTCCCAGCGATCTTCCCAACAATTCTGAGGGGGCTGGTCTGCGCACACGTAATCGAGGCTTGGCTTGGCTCATTGAAGAAGTCCTTCGATAGGCGGTCAGTCAATGATCGTTGGAAGTCCGACACAAAGATAGTGACTCCTGAGACCTTGGGGTCGTCGATTGACATCACTTCGATGGAGTCCTTGAAGATGAACCCACTGCCGGTGAACTCGCCAACCTTCTGCACGCCCGCTAATGCCATCTGAGGCCCTTGCAGCGCAAGCAAGGCGCCTGCAACAATTGACAGCGCCCGAGCGATCCATCTACTGGTGCCAGCAGGGCCATCGGATTCTGCACTTTCGTCCAGTCTACTTTCTTCCGTTGCCCATGGTTCTGTGTCCTTTGGAGCAGGGGTTTCTGCCCTCAAAGATTCCAATGCCGAAGTCTTAGACTGTGCCGCTGCATGCATCAGATAAGTGCTGCAAGCACTTTTCCTGCCCTTCATTGCAACCCCCGGTGTTCCTTGCAAGCCAACCCTTTGCAGACCTCTCAATGCTTTCAGAGGGAGTTTAGCATGGCCCGGTGCGCCAAGCGCGCATCTAGAGTACGATGTGGAAGCGTCGCCGCTGCCTCGAATCTGGTGGCATTGGGGCTCTGTCGTGCAATGTAAGTTGTTCAATGCAGATGCGAGGAAGCCCAGGCCTGCGGCACAGCAAGCAGAGGACGCCATTGGGTCGTTCCTTTGGCGGAGGATTAAAATATTAAAATTGTGCTTGCTTACCTACTAAATCTGAAGAAAGTGAAGAAACAGCGTTCCGGCCGTTCCGTTCGTCAGCGTTCCGTCCTTCCGCTAGTCGGCACGCTGTCCACCCTAGCCTGCTCGCGGGCAGAAGCGCGCGTCGCCGCCATTGGCAATATTGGCGCATTGCTTCCAGAGTTGCCACAAAATTGTGAAAAGTCACACATTTGGGAAGGGAAGGGCGGTCATCGGGTCAGCCAGCTTTCGTTCCAGAGGCCTTTTAAGGGGCTCCATTGGTTGCGCTCACAATGAGCGACGGGGGTGACTTCGAGGAGGTTGTGATGACCTCACAGGAAATTGACGCGCTGATCAATGGCACCGGAGACGTCAAGAACGAGAAGGGAGAGTCGCTAGTCCTCAAGCAGACTGCTGTGCAGCAAGAAAGTACTGCATTGCCGGTTCCGGAGGCGACGTCTGAAATGCTTAAGGTTGGGGACGGTGTTGAAAAGCAGGTTTTGAGGGCAGGAACAGGCGACAGTCCCAAGAAGCACGCCACGTGTTTTGGTAGGTGGTTAATTGTCACACCGCATCGTGCAGACCATCAGTCTGGAAGTTGCTGTTGTGGTCAGTATGTGTTTGTGAATCCTAGGAAGAGAATGCAATGCAGCTCCCTAACGCCCAGGCGCCATAGCTTCTGTCACAATCCGATTGAAGATACTTGCGTTTCGAAGATGAGATGCACAATGTGGCACGTGTTTTTTGAACGAGGGCTGATTGTTTTTTGAACGAATTTTCAGAACTTAGTGCCACCACGTACTTCAAAAATTATATTGCTTGAACGGAATGAAACCAGATTTGTAGTTCTCTGTAGAAAGTTCATTCACAAAGACGCCTGCTTCCGGCCACACCGCCAGTAATGAAACGCCGTTTTTTGAATCCAAACTACATTCAATGATGCTTTTCGAGTGCAGACAATGTTAACATCAGAGATCCGGAAATAAACCCCCGCTACGTCGGCCCTGTCTAGAACAACATTCAACATCGCTTTCTCCGCAAACGAGGCAAGTTTTCTTTCCACAACCAGTCCTACAGCAACTACTGATTCTCAAGCACTGTCTTGACACCTGCAGTGCACTACCGGGGTTGGATCAAGGCAACTGGGGACAAGTTCTACGACACCTGGGAGGAGGGCCAGGCGGCGGAAGTTGTCATTGGCCATGGTGCGGGTCACTCCTTGCCTTTGCGGTCTCCATTTCAAAGGGTGTTACATTCTTTCGTGTCTCATAATTGGGAAACATCTCTACTTTTACTTGCACTGTAGCAGATAAATTCGGGCCCTTTCGGGGGGTCCTGAGGTAACATCCTTTGACATTTGCGAACCATAGCTTCTTTCACATGCCTCACAGTGTTTGGGGTTGCACTTGGACTCAGAATCCACCCTCCCGACGATCTCTCCTGCCAATAATGGCTGCCTCTCTCTAAGGGAACTGGATAGGTGTTTTCCAGATCGGAGGTCACTGTGCAGATTCTGATTGTGACTGACATCTGAGCAGGATTTGGCTTTGCAGTAGTAGCCTGTTTAGATCATCATTCTCCAGCATTTTTCGGCCAGAGTCTCAACGCTTCTTATGTCAAGGGCGCATTCTCAACTCTGGGGATATGTGAAACGCTTTCGAACTCCAGAGATTCTTCCGCTTGAACACCGAAGACCCTCCCAGAGCAGCAAGATCTGAAAAACCTGTGGCTGCGTCCGACCAGCGAAAAAGCCCCTGATCAACACAATTTGCATCAAAAATCCAGCTTCCCCCGCTCACAATCTCCATCTCTTCGCTTACTCTGAGAGCCGCAGGATTGAAAAGACTGGGGCTTGATACTCGAAGCCTCTGATCACTGTTCTTTTCATCGCTCTTCAGAGCAGCAAGGTTTGAGGCTGGCCTCACAGTGTTTCATTATGCTTTGCTCTTGATCCATAACGCTTCTCCTAAATACGTAACCCCAAGATTCCACCCTCCCAATGACCAATTCTTCATCATTATCCAGAGCAGCAAGGTTTGAAGGGGTTGGGGCTGGCGCTCACGAGCATGCAAGCGGGGGAGAAGAGCCTGGTGCACGTGGCATGGCAGCAAGGGTACGGAAAGGAGGGCTGCTTCTCTTTCCCGACCGTACCCCCAAAGGCAGACCTCCTATACGAAGTGGAGTTGAAAGGGTTCGAGCCAGCAAACGAGGTCGGTCTTTGATGAAGCTTGTGGTCTTTTCGTTGAGAAGAAACGTTCTAACTTCTGCATATGGTCTTTTCAAGCCAGTATAAGGGACGCGATGATCAGTGTCCTCTATCCCGTCTTGTATTATGACTAGGCCGTACAATCCTCCGCCCCTGCTCTCATCGCTGTCAAGTATTTGTAGGCATCCCGTGTTCCTTTGAATCTGGTTTTTCAGCCCCGGTGAACTGCAAACACGTTTCACTCCTTGACCCCTCACGGTCGCAACCTTCCACTGACGTTTGACGACTGTTCGTGTCCACGTTTCATCAATCTGGTGAGCCGAACCACCATCCTCACGCTTTGATTTTTTGGCTGCTCAACCTTGAGGAATTTGTTACAGGGCCGACCACGGTCCGAGATGACCGTGGAAGAGCGCATTGCGGCGGCGGACCGACGACGGGTGGACGGGAACGACCTCTTCAAGGGGGGGCAAACAGAGGAAGCACTTAAGCAGTACGAAATGGTGAGACCGGCCAGCACGAGAAGAATTTGGCAAAGGCTGCGTGAGGGTCGCTTAAGCCACTCGTGTTTCCTGTTGACGTGACTGTTCCGCTTTCCCAGGAAGCAGCACGAAGTATTTTCGGACGTACTCGAAGAAGGCTGTGCGAGGGTCGCTTGCCCAATCATTTTGTGGATTCTGCTGAATGCCGATTCGCTTCTCCGAAAAGCGCTCCGAGTCGGTGAAGAAAGGTTCGGCAAGAGACTTACCTTGAAAATGCTGTGCGACGAAAAGGTCGCTCTTCATAACTAATCTGTGGATTTTGTGAATTGCCTGTCCGGTTTTGCTGAGTCCGTCTGCGTGTTCTCGACACAAGACGATCTTCAAGCACTTTATGGAAGCTCGGATGGATTGAAACACTTATTGGTAACGTCCACCCATTCTTCGACCATCTCGGGACGCGTCTGTTCTGACCGCGAGAAGCGCCTCCACCCCTTTCCAAGTGGCGAAGCTTGTCTTCAATCCTCCCTTTGCAATCAGCATTAGCAGCACATTGCTCGCCCTTCCGAGGATAGGGTCGACTACCATCTACTTCTGTCAAAAAGGTACTCGAGAAATCTATAACTTTGATATTTTTGACCGGTGTGAGGCGAACCAGGTCAGACTCGTCATACGGTTACGCAATTCGAACGGGCGTTGGCGCTTCTCTTTCCTCCGCTTCAAATGTCATTGACCGCTGTCGTCCGAAACGCAATCATTACAGGTCGCCGTAGCTTCCAGTGGCTGGATATGGGCCGGATGGCGTAACTCAAAGGGCTGCTGTGCGGTTTTCATGGGAGTGCAAAAACAAGAAAAGTAGTCGAGCGGATCGATCGAGGCGCAAAACCGACCCTGTCGACTGCCGCCGCCAGGACGATACAACAATGACAAGTGGAGAGTCTTAGCATCAACAGAAGAAAAGCGCGAATCTCAAAAAGCAACGAGCACGTGCCCACGAGACTGACGTCACGCTGTGTGTCGTTTTGACGCAGGGGCTGACGTTCATGGGGGACGACTTCATGTTTCAGCTGGAGGGGCGCTACCGCGAAGACGCAGACGCCGTGCGGATACCCTGCCTGCTCAACATCGCGGCATGCATGCTCAGGCTGAAGCGGTATAACGAGGCAATCGCGAACTGTAACGCGGTAAGTTTCATTGTTTGCATTAACACCCGTTTTCCCCGTTGAAATGAAGGTGGCGTCGTCTGCGTGCTCCTTTCGTTTTTCGCTTTTCTGCTTGTAATCTGAGGCGGTCTAAGATCTCGAAGTGGGGCTCGGCAATGGAACTTGTCCAAGGTCGATTGGTCCGTACGCAGATAGGAGCCACGGTGTCCGGAAAGTTGTCCAGACGGTTGCTCCGAACCGAAGTATATTATGCTGTCGGCCAGTCTCTGACCACTTCAGAGTTTTTGCACTGATCGTGACGTCTTTGTCCGGCTTTTCAGAGGACGGAATCAAGCTGAGTCACTGAGATGAGGGGCTTCGAGCCGTATTTATCCTCTCACACTTATCGAGGTCTTCGACTTTTGTGACCTCCGCTTCGACGCTTAGTCAGGCGGCTACGTTCTACGATACGAACTATGACAATGCGTTCATGCGAACGTGGTAGAATCGTGAGATGAGGCTCCCTGTCAGCAGTTGCAAACACGTACACCTGCGGTTGGCTCAAAGGCTTTTCATTTCAGGTTGAAAAAGCCTGTCAAAGCGCAGTCTTTCGCAAGCAGAATCAACGGGCTTTCTACTATTAGCAGAAAGACGTAAAGAAAGTAAGGGGCGCTCTAAAGATTCGAATGAGAAAAGATTATTTCGATACTTCCGGACGACGAGTGCGCACATGGTTGCTCATTGGCTGCATGTCCACGCAGGTTTTGGCGGACGACCAGAAAAACGTGAAGGCGCTCTTCCGGCGGGCGCGAGCCAAAGTGGCGCTCGGCCAGAGCGAAGATGCAATCAACGACTTTAAACGAGCTCTGAAACTTGCTCCAGGAGATAAAGAAATCGCTCGGGAGCTTAGAATAGCGGTTGAGAATGAAAAGGCGGTGAGCGAGAAGCAGAAGAAGATGTACAAAGAGATGTTCAAGCCACAGCCGGAGGAGGAGCGAGGGTCGTGGATACAGCGGATCTTGCGGTGGCTAATTTTGATGGTCAAGAAGCTCTGGCCTTTTCGACGGCGGATTAGTGTTGGCGGGAAGAAAATATTGTGAGGACTGAAGGTAAAACGACAATACAGCAAACATTGATACTGATTCTACGGACAAGCGGCGCTCAAGTCCTTTTGCTTCTTTGCTCAGAGCTTAGACACTGACATCACAGGTTAATGAGTAAGGTCTCGGCCGGCAGAATCCAGATTGAGCAGATCTAGGGGCCTTTGAGTCCATCATGGCATACACGACAGGAATCCTTGCCTTATGTGCCGTACGGTAATTGTGAAATCACTTTTGTCGATCCTAGCCACATCCTAGCTAGTGACAGCTCGGCTCTGACGGTCGCTGCGGCAGACCGGGCGGCCAGGTTCGACCGGGCCCGAACTGAGCTAGGCTCAATTCATGAATTGAAGCGGGCGCCTGTGCATTTCCGAAAGTTCCATGTTGATCCTCAGCAGGCCCATATATATACCTAGCTAGGCATAATGCCTAGGCCTGAATCAGTGCACTTGACCATATATGGTCATTGAAAGTTGGTAGTGATTCCTTTACCCGGACCGCTTCCCGTCATAATATATGCAACACAGTTCGCATGCATACATATGTATAAGCCGCCATGCAATTTGTACATGGTAGTATAATAGCTCAGCGCACCGTCGCGCGGCGCCATGCATATGTATGACAGAGCTGCATGCTCCAATGATGGCAATCATGTAGCTGGCATCTAGATGTGCCAGATGCCTCAAAGATGGTCGTTCGGCGCTGCACTGCATTGCCAGTGGATCAGGAAGGTTACATGCACAATCCACCCTACTCAGTTAATGAAACGATTGTGGAATCACGCACGTATTATTAAGTTAGAAATTTAGAACACAATGAAATTCGCAATCCCTAAGACCCGGTGTAGGCACGAAGGCACGACTCACCAAATTCTTCAAAGGACCCAGACTCGCAGCTTTAAATTCCGTCCGGCTATTATGCACGCTGGATGGCGGAGCTTGGCACGCTCTCGAACTATGATATCCTCGACCATACCGGAATGCTTTGACACGATAGCTGTCCAAGTCCTGAGAAGAAAGGTTGACCTGCCTATCCTTAATTGATTATAAAACTAGCAAGCGCAACATTGAACTGAAGTTCATTGATCTCCGCCGCTTAGACTGACCTTTAGTCTGCTTATAGAGCTAGCAAGAGCGACATGGATATGAAACCGACCGATGTCTGATCGATCTTAAATGACGACTGCCTGACCAAGTTTCTGCCACCTCCAAAAGAATGACCTTCTGACCCCAGAATCCCTTTCCCATTCACCTTTCCGCTCTGCTTAAGTTCTAGGCGATCAAAAACTGAAGCCCTGACTTTGCCCGCACCCAACACCAAACACATCCCCCCCAAATCGTCGAAAAGTGTCCTGAGTGCTCTCATACTCACAACTCGACAAGTGGCGCTCTAGTACAGTCCCAGGAACTTCCACCACACCCCACCCACAACAGTCCAAACCAGAGCGTTCCAGATCGCCATGATGAAACCCAGCTTGAAGGTCTCGGGCAGAGTCGTATATCCAGCTGCAGAGGAGTGACGGAGGGATGACATGAGCAACCGAATCCTGAGCAAGGTGGCTGGTCGAAAAGGAGTGGGAAGTGAAGGGCCGACAGGCAGGTTTACCGAGGATGAGTAGGCAAAGAGCCTCTACAGAAGAACCCCTCAGGATTTCTAACCGCACCAAGAAGCCGCTCTTGCCAGAGGTTGTGCACAAGACCTCTTCGTGTATGGTCCCCAAGAGTCGTAACTTTGACAAGCCTCTCGACCAAAGGATGTACGATGGACGAGTGAACGTCAAAAGCGAGCCGTCTAAAGAAGCGCGCCCACTACATCTTCACGCTTTCCTGCCCATCCTCGTTTTTCTCGACAAGCATGTACTCGACAGCCGTTCTGGTCCATCCGATATCTTTGCACTCTGTACTGGCCAGTAAGAATGGCCGCGTGGCGTTCTCACGTACAGCACGCAAGTAAACCCGACAACCTCCGATACTCAAAAGAACAAGAAGAACCCCGCACTACCATGGTAAATGGCGGTCTGCTCGCTGTAATACATGATCGCCCCAACAAAGCAACCCAATTCCAAGGCAGCAAGACCTGTTCACAGACGCCAATGCAACGCTTCTTCAAATCGTAAAAGACGCCAGAATATCACCTTCAAAAGCAACGGCGGCCTGCCCGCTGCTGTGGTGCGTTGCTGCCCCGAACGAAGCAACCTATTTCCAAATGTACGACCCGAAATTGAAGCCCGGAGCCACGCATTCCTACGGACAAGAAAGAACCAAGAAAGCCTACCTCCGAAGTAGACGGCGGCCTGCCCGCTGCTGTAGTGCGTGAGCGCCCCGAAGAGGTTGGTGCTGTAACCCAGCGCGAGCACGGCGAGGAGGGGGGGCACGCCCGCGGCGAGGTTCATGGCCAGGAAGGCGGAGTAGAGCGCACCCACGTGGGCGGTTTGGCTGGCGAACAGGTAGTGCACCGTGAAGTAGACGACCTGTAAAGCGTGGTTAGTACAGAATATGGTTACGAAGAAATGAAGGGATTCTGAAGTTTCAGGACGCAGTCGGAGCGAACGGGCTTCGATTGAACGAAGTTTCTGCGCACGCAGGTTCGGCACGTAACAGCGTGGGCTGAGGAAACTTTCGAACCTATTAATGGTGTTTTCAGACTGACTCCCCATCTCCGCTGTGAAACACATGCTTTCATCCCGGCAAGGTTCATACAGGGCCTTCGATGAATCTGATTTGACATTCAAAAGTTCTTTCCTGCCACGAGGGCTTCTTCCAAAAGCCGCGCAAGGCTCAACCTCAGGTCCTCGAATCTAAGTAGGGCAGACGAGGTCAATAGTAGTCAAAGATATTGAAAGAGGCGATTCTTACCAAAGCTAGAGGCAGCGAAAGGCGGATCGCTCAACGGATTCTAGTTGATCTTCGTCGACGGGGATGGAACATAGGAGAGAGGCGATGTTCAAAAAGGGGCAAAGGGTGAAGCTTACCTGGAGCAAACCGAAGGAGGCCTGCCAGCTCAATCTGGCGTTGGCGAGCGTCTGTGCTACGGAGTCGGACATATACTTGACCAGGCCGAGGTTGTTGAGCTGACCCGACATGCCCACCTGCGTTGAAACACCGGGCCGTGTCAGATTGCACCTGTCGAAGGGAGAGAAAACGGACGCGAATGCCGAGGTGCGTGGCGCCATCTCGCTGAAGTCAAAGGAGCATGCGCTTGGAATATTCAAACATGCGATGGAGCGTACGGAGGTCCTTTCGGATTGGTGAACATAGTTAGTTGCAGATGGATGGTCTGTGCTTTCATTTCGTCTTCTTGAGGATGGCAGAAGGCTTGCCTTGCTCTGGCGGTTTCGATAGTGTCCTAAGCCTTAAAGCTCCAGACTGGGTTCAAACTCTCGCATTGTGGATTCTCGCACACATTCGTGGTATAACATCAACGACACTACAGACATGTTATTACCTTTTCAAAGAAACTGAGAGAGGTCGGCCCGAATAGCATACGACTGTAGACAAAACCTGCATTCTCGGCCAGTCTCGCCCCTTGTTTAAGACTCTTCAAGCTCCAGTCCTTGTCTTCCACAGATCACGCTTACAACTTTTACTTCGTCGAAACTCACATTCGACGGTCTTAAGGTTCGAGTTCCCACGTTCGACGGTCTTCAAATTTGAACCTTACGAAAGAAATAAATATGCTCCGGGGGAAGTTGGCGATCTTTACAAAGAGGCAGTTCCTTTTCCGACAAATCAGATGCTTCTATATGCATCGAGGAAGTGGGATTGTGAACCTCTTTGGGTCGCTCCTCCGAGAAGTGCAGTTTCGAGCAACGTTCTACAGATTGAGGTCTCGTTGAGGCAGGGTCCTGCTTTTCTATCGAAATTTTGCGGCTCACTGTCGAAGGGTTTTTCACATCGTAGCGAATTGGGGTCAAAGAAAGAGTTTCACGAGGACGGAAAAGCCGAGAAGTGCATCCCAGGCCGGAATCCTTTGGTGACGCAATCGGTGTTCGCGACTCAAACTGGGTCTAGAACAACGACGGATCCAGAGACCGTTCGCCTAAGTTCCAGAGCCTCTCTAAGTGCAATCTTCCTGGAGGCGCTGACTCTGATTGCGAGGGTGTCAGCGCCCTTATTCGGGGGTCCGAAAAGTCCTTGGCGTTCGAAGTGGTAAAGAAGAAGTTTACCAGTACAGCAAACCAAAGGAGCATATCCCAAGCGTTCTTCTCGGTGAGGCAGTCGTCCTCGTCTTGCTCTTCCATTTTCAGGCTCAACGACTCATCTCCAAAAGTTCAATGACTTGAACAATTTAGGAAGTGCTGGAGGCACTCACCAGCACGGCGAACCACAGGAGCGTATCCCACGCAGATTTCTCAGTGAGGCAGTCGTCCCACTTGAGCACCCCAAACACGAGCAGCACGCACAGGCCCAGCATGGCAGCAACAACGCTCGCCACGCCTAGTTGCTCTCCGAAGATCCACAGCGTCACCGCCAGAAGCATCGTGCCGATCATAACCCACTCATTCTTCGTCACAGGACCCATTGCCTGCAAGAAAAATCCGCAGTTTGAGGTCATCATAAGCTTCCGCATCTCCTACTCGGTTGTTGATGCTAGCTTTGCCAACCAAAAACGATGGCAAGAAGACTGCCGAGAGCCGAGCATCACCCACTCGTTCTTCGTCACAGGACCCATTGCCTGCAAGAAGAACTCTGCAGTTCGGCGCTCTGTAACTTGACGCCTTCGATCTGGGTTTCAATTTGGGTTGGAGATGTGTAGAATTTCGACAAGATTCCACGGCAAGACTGCCAGCAGGCTAGTGCCCACTACATCCCACTTGTTCTTCGACATGGGCCGGTCGCCTGCAGGAGTGACGTCATCAAGTGTCGGGCAGTGATGTCTTCAAGTGTCGGGCGGGTCCTTGGAGCCACATGAGTGGGCAGGAGATCAATGGAGAAGGGTTGAGCGTATTGTAATTGATTGAAGGCTATCAACAGAGAGTCACTTGAAGATCATCTTGCTGAGTGTCAATTTGATTCAAGCAGACAGCGGTGCACATGAGCGTCCAGACCAATCAATGTCTGCTTGTTGGAGATGACCCTGCCAGGGGAGCGTCATTGCCTGTAATTTCTGAAGTGCGCGAGCAGGGATGCCAACATATGTCCAACAGATACTGCTAGGACTCCATATGCAAGCAATCTGCGCTCTCTCAGAATGCTCTATTTCCGTTCACCTAGAGACTCAGCACTCTGAAGGCCTTCCAGAATCTCAGCAGCCCCACCTCAGCAGCCCCACCTCAGCAGCCCCCTCCATTGCACCGCCGATAAATCACACTTCCCCAATCTCTTACCTCTAGCCGCTTTGTGGCAATTCCAGGCGCCTCGGGCGTGTTCTTGCTTTCAGGGGGGAAGATTTTGTACAGGATCAGGGGCCCCGTGAGGAGCGCAACTAGAGCGGGCACGCTGGCGACCTTGAACCAGGTGAGCCATGGGCCGGGGACCTTCACGCCGAGTTCTCCCGCAAGCTTTATGCACAGCAGGTTCTGGGCGGCAGCGGTCAGGAAGAGCGCACTCGAGTTGCCAGCAGCCTGCGGAAACAAAGCGTCTATAGTAGGTCAATGATGTGTACTCAAAACTGCTCTTTTCCCCTTCTTTCAACAAGTCCAGGAGGAAACTGAGGAATTGGCCATCATAAGGAACAGGGGGCTCAAGAAGCGAACCCCCCTCTGAAGTGGAGGGAAAGCGGGGCCTTCAAGTTGATGCTTGATTGCAAATCAAGATCCTTCTTGATTGATGCATTAATTTGCTGGCCACCATGGCAGGCAACTAGCAGCGGTGAGAAGGAGCGCACTCAGTACCGGTTCTCAGAATTGACAAATATGTGACAAAGACACTTCTTAACCAATCTGAACGCCTCCAAAATTGGCAACTCGCCAAAACCCTAATCTCACCAGCCACCATCCGAAACCTTAATGCTGCCACTCCCTGATGCCGTCAGAGTTTTACAGCTCTCAGAGACCCGGTCTTTCCTATACGCACAGATCTTAGATCATAGCATTTGAAGGGGCCTGTGAGATATGGATGCTTCTGAAAAGCTCCACAACAAAGCCAATGCAGGAATAGATCCATCAACAGCAGTGTCCATCAACTGACCTGGAACTGATTCTGAATAAGATACGCCCCCAGCTTCTTCTGCGTCCCATCCTCCGGCTTGCTTCCACCGGCCAGTGACAGCGACTTAATGATTGGCAAAAACACGCCTCCTGCCCTAGCGGTGGTGCTCGGCATTGCGGGTGCAATCAACGCTTCAGCCACAGTTAACCCGTAACTTAATCCCAACGTGCTCTTCCCTAACCACTTCACAAAGTAGGTGGCAACTCGGTCTCCTAACCCTGTTTTCACGAAGCCGCGCGCAAAGAAGAACGAGATCACGATGAGCCAGATCACATCGTTGGTGAACGCACTGAATGCTGCCTGGAAGGTTAGGGTTTTGGTGAGAACGGTCACTGTTAACCCAAGGAAGGCCCAGGCTCCTACGGGGAGAGGGCTGAGGACTAGGCCGGTAATGGTGGAGAGGAAAATGGCGAGAAGCTGCCACGCTTGCTGCGAAATGGCGGCGGGCTTGGGCGCCTTCCACACCGCTAAGCCAAGCGCAATGGAGATAAATGAAGGGAGGATTGCGGCGCCCTCCCACGCTGGGGGGGTGGCCTTTGCTTCGAGCTCAGCTGCAGCTGCTGCCTTCACTAGCCCCCTCTTCAGAACAGATTTCTTTTGATGAATCAGCTCCTCCCGCCGCAGGGGGTTGAATGCAAGACTAGAGGGGATGGGGGATGTGAGCCCTCTGAAAGCAGAGGCTAGGGATCTGCATTTGCGGGGTGAAACTGCCGGGGTGCTGATTGCACGTATGCATGCAAGGTTAGAGCTCGCCCGAAGATGCTGTGTCTGCGCGGATCCGCGAGGTGCAAAGGTTTGCCACCGCTGCGTCAGGGACGACTGTACAGCGGACGCCATCGCTGTCAAACCACCTCTACAAACGTCAGAGCAAAGGCAGGGGCGTTGCTATACCGCCTTCACCTGGCAGGCACCATTGCACTTGCTGTAATACTTGCTGTATAGTGCAATGAGACGGCCAGCGCTTTTCGAAACTTTGCTGCTTCTTCTCCCAAAGTAACTGTTGCGCCGTGGGCCAAAACCCGAAACCCTGACGGGCAAACTTCTGACCGCACGGCCGCTTTCGGCGCGGCCGCGGGGCTCCAGGCGCTCGCGGCGCGAGCATTCTCACCAGTCTTCAACTGTCCATATGTCCAGGCTGACGCCAATATTCGAACTGCATCGCACACACATGTGCAATCCATTCACGGTGGCCCTGCCAGTCCGGGTCCTTCGCTTGTGCAGCTGACGGAAGGGCACCTGCAACATGTGTGCATATGGTGGCGCCATCAGCCCGGCCAGTCTTATAGCGAAATATATGCACGCAGCGATGATTACTGAAAGTCGGTCGAGGTGCAGGAGGTGGAGTCTCTTCGACGGGTCTTCGACTTTCAACGTAATTAACGATTGCTAGAAGACCATCCCACTTTTGCGAGGCTGATGTGGCAGACACTTGCTTGTACCTGCACTAATCAACTAGGGCCTCCACTTCATGATCACAAAACCTAGAAACCTTTGAGAAGCGGTGATATTGTGCATCCCAAGAACCCATGACAGAATTTAACATTAACGAATGATCTCTGATTGGCTCAATTGGCCCGCTCAGCCAAGACAGGATAATATTAGGAAGTTGACGTCACTGCCATTGGTTCCGTTGCTTAGGGCAGAATGATCATATTGTAGGAGTGCTTTCGAAATACTGCCACTTCGTACTGGGGGAAAAGCGGTGCAACCCGCGTCGTGATGTGTTAAACGGCTTCATGATTCGGAGCCTACCTTTGTCCTCAATTGTCGATCATCTGTTTCTCAGCTGGTTTTTGATCTATTGCAGCTTCTCAGGATCCGGTGTAGCAAAAACGGCCACAAAGCGGCCAAGAGCAAGGCGGTCAAGCAGAAAAAGGTGCTCGTTCTCTGCCGCAGAACTTTTGAAAGAGACTGAGCAACCAAGGACGTAGGAAAAGTGCATACTGAGCCTTTCAAGCAGAAGAAGACTTGCCACGTGCTTGTTACGTCTACAAGGAAGTTCAGCTTTTGGAACCCGGTTGAAAAAAATGGATTAAATGATAGTTTGTTCGGATCCTACTATTTGTCCACCAGACAAATCATCTTATGATTCTATTGAATAACGCAAATGCAGGCAAAAAAGAAAGTGCGCCAACCCAACCTCCACGACCGCAAGACCTGCCAGAAGTTAAATTGCAACCAAAACTGTAACTTCTGTGGAGGGACGCCACCATGTAAGTCCAATAGAGATTCGGCTCCGTACATGACTCTTGAAGCAGGTTGTTAACATGAAGTACTGCTCAAGCCTTCAGTTCTTCAGCTCTAGAGACGTCTTCAAGCATGATGACGCCAGGCTGTCATCCCATATCACCCTGCACATCCCCGATTGAATCCAGGTGATCTTGCTGCGTGCGCCCATCCAAGGCCATTGGAGGAAAGTAGTCAACGGTCTGGTGTGAAGACGGATTTGAAGCAGAAGGCTTCTTTGAATAAGACAGAGTCTCCAGATGAGGAATCCAAAAGCGACGAGGTGAGCCTAGTAAAAAGTTTGCTTCTTGTGGGAAATTCGTAGATCATATTGTCTTCTTCAATTGCTACAAACCAGATCATAACTAGCCGCTACGTGACCCGCATTGCTGTTCATTAGCTTGGCACTCCGAAGATGGCGCTGATCATGATGCCGAAATCAAATGCTTTACTTCATCTGACGAAGCAGCTACTAGAAGTTAAATCACCTCCTGCAACACGCCTTCACTAGTGGAACGAAACATTAGGCTGTCGGCCGATTGCTATGGTGCATGTTCTGCCTTGGGGTTTAGAACTTCAGCTGGTCCTTATCCTGACATCGTTGCAATCTTAATGGTTTAGTCAGATCCTATTGCTAGCCACCTCCAACACTGCGGTTTTATGTCTCTTTAAGCGGGAGTGGGTGAGCATCATGGACAGACCGCACCCTTCAGAGAAGTGGGTCCTCCCGCTCTTTATTGGTTACGCCTTGGCAATTGGCTATGGCCTATGGCTCTACATAACCTGGTAGCGCAAATTACAAGGAGGCAATACTCGACTAAGACCACAGGACGATGCTTCCGTTTATTGATCAATTGAAAGAGCCAATCTTCATGAGGATAAGATGGGCGGGACAGGCCATGAGCCTACTCCAAATTGTTTGAACACGAACCCTGCAGTGTTGAATGTAAGGGCATCACTGCCAGTGCATTGCGCTCCTTTGCGGGCGGCCAATAGCATCAATATCGTGTCTATTCTGCAAGGAGCTGAATCAGCAATTGCAATGACACGTTCATTTCTTTAAGCCGTGCCTGGCAATGTGGTTTAAAGCCACTGCTGTCACTTACTCTGAAGATTGTTCGTCTACTTAAGTGGTGACTTTCAATCAGATCGTCATACGAATCGTACATCATTTGATTCTGAAATGGTGTAGTACTAAAATACATCGAGTGCGATTGTCCAAGGGTTGCAACGCTATATTATTGCACTTCAGGTCACGCCTTTTATGCCGTTGTGTGGCCGGACGAGAGGTGAGTTGCAATTATTGTTTTATGATGAAACGTTGCAGCATGGATGCGAGCATCACTGCAAGTTGCAAAGGTTGTGTAAAGGTTCGGATAAGTCCGAACAAGTCTTCATTCGACCACCTATTGGCAGACCTTCGGCCACTAGGTCCATTAACCCTTTAAAAGCGGGT